GGGGTGGGTGATGAGGGGAGGGAAACCCGTTCTTGAGAGAAAGCGGCCAAGGATCTGGTGCTCAGGGCCCCTCTGATGCCACGTTAGACCCGGGGGGAGGGGGCAGGCACGGGGACGAAGGACATGAGGGGCTGCAGAGGGACAGAGCAGGCTCGTGCCTGTGAGAGCTGTAACCAGAGGCGGGGTTGACGGGGTGCGCATGGCTCTCGGGAGGAAGTGATCAGAAGGAAAAGGGCAGGGAGTGCAGACTGTACACTAAAGATGGGAATGAGACAACCGTGGCGGGGACGAGAGGAGCCCCTGGACGGGCGGCACGTGCGATGCCGGGGCCGTGGACAGGCCACTCCTAGTCGGCCCAGGGCCGGGCAAGGGGACAGGGGCCGACTTGACTTTGCTTCCCCCCAGGAGCTGACAGGCACGCTGCCCGCGGAGTATCCCCCCAAACCAGGGGAAAAGCCCCCCAGGGTCCGCCGCAGGATCGGAGCGGCGTACAAGCTGGACGAGTGGGCCCTGCACAGGGAGGTGAGCGCTTCCGCGGCCGGCGCGTCCCTCAGTCCCGACGGCTGGTGGCCGGGCGGCCTCCTCTCCACCCCGCACCTCCAGCGAGGGCGCTCGGCTCCATGGGGGCCAGGGACACCCACTACGTGCAGCCCGACGGCCGCGGGAAGGTGTGCCGCCACGGGGGCCACGCGAGCCGCGAACTCAGGGAGGACCCTGGGTTTGGCCCAGTGGGCAGAGGATGTGTTAAGAGCCCGGGCCGCCACCCCCAGCCCCAGCCGCGGGGCCGCAGCCTGCGCGGACAGGTTCCCCCGGCCCCTAAGGGAGGCTCCTTCTCAGCACGGGAGGAAGGGGGTGGGGGCCCCCAGTGTCTTCCCCGTGGCGGGAGTGGCGTCCATTTCCCGTGGGCTCGCCCGCCCAGCCCTCTGGGGTCGCACTTGGGTTCCCACCCTGCCGGGTCGGGCAGGCGGGCTGCGGGGTGGGAGCCTGCGCCAGCCTTTCTCACGGCGGGGCGGACGCAGACGCGCCTGCTCTTGGGCCCCTCCCGCCGCTCCGCCCTCTGCGCCACGTCCTGGACGCCGCTGGCTGCCACCCTCTGTCCTGTCCTCTGGGCCCCCGCGCCC